GGAAGAAATGAGACCTTGCCCTCAAAATAAAAAACACTTTCATTCAAGAGTCATGATTTTGTCATTAAACACATTGAAAGTTTACTAATCTTTTATTTTTTCTATTTGCCATCTCAAAAAGGGTGGCATAGGTAAGAATTTCCTTTGATATGACTTTATAACTTTATTCTCTTGCTCTCTATTCTGAGACTTTTCCATAAGAACATTCACTTTAATTCGACTTGTACGATCTGGCTGAAATAGAGGATACGCAATAACTCTTTCGAACTCTTTTATCTCTTTCTTTACCTTCCTGTGCTTCTCATGTGTAGGCGGCTGGCTCTGGTTTATCCTCAGGAGCCTTTCCTTGAGTCTTTGCTCTAGGAGTTCTCTCCCTCGAATCATTCGTTCCTGGTGGTCTTTAATTTGCATCTGCTCCCTTTCATTTACCTGCTTTCTTCTCTGTGAACAATTCATGCCATGGTTGTCTGGCACAATCTTCGGGAATGCTGTTTCCTTGATGGGCCGCTGAAGTGGTTGTCTTAATGGTTTTTTCCTAAATTCTCTGCCCTTTCCTGCTCCTTGTATGTGCCTCTCTATGTGCGTCCATTCTCTCTCAGGTACAGGACAGGCCCGCTTTTGTCTTTGAGTTGTTTCTTCCTCAAGGTCACTGCCTTTCGGTTCTTTTACAATTACAGCTAATCTTTTATGCAAATAAGACTCTGCTTTGGCAAGCCAGTAATCAAGAGAAAGAGCTTGCTCCTTGCGCAGCATTTCATACTCCTCTTTGTATTTCTGAAGTAACAGTCTTTTGGCTGCTGTTGTGTGCACGCCACTTGGTTTCTGTCAAAGAAAAGTATAGCATTTTAAAATGTGACCATCTTTCCTCTGAACACACGTACATAGGAGCCTACCCCATTACTAAACCAAGAAAAGATTATGATCTTTTATTTATGTTGTCAAAATATTCTGACTATACTCCCATAATTCCCAGGTGAATCCTCACTCTTGCCTGCGTCATGATACTACGCAACTCGGGGTGAATAAATCAATAGTCATTTGCTTAAAATACAGTGTTTGAAGTTTCCAAAAATGATATTTCATTTTGAAACTGTGGACAAAGCTGGGAAACATTTGCCAGTGTTGACATGCTACCTGAAGATGTCACTTGGGCAGAAGGTTATAAACTACACAATATGAAAATAACTTTACCAAAATTTTTTTCTCAAATGGAGACTGGAGACTGTCAGCAATCCTAGGGTCTTTCGAGGTTTTAGCCCAGGCCAATCTGACAGAGAAAAAAGTAAAGCTGGATTAGAATGTGGCACATCTGCCCAAATAATGCTTGAATCAAAAAAACCAAAGATTTTGGCAAAAGCCAAGGGGTTTTCACTCACAAGGGGAAAATCTGCTCATAGGCAGGGCTCGAATAGAGCCATTGCTCCCTTGGGAAACCATTGCATTCCAACAGCAGAAAAGAATGCTTTTTTAATAAGAGGAGGATCTTTCCTTTCACATGAACTAAAAACATACTTCTCCTGTGGACTCAAATGTAACCACTCTGAATCTTGTATCTGTGACTGGGAGATGAGAGCGACAGACTCCTTGGCAAGATGTTGACCAAACACCTTGTCAGAATGCTCAGTCTCCTGCTCTCTTTCTTGAGGTAATTCTATACTTCATTGTTCTCAGTGCCTTCTCTTTCTCTTGTCTCTTGATCCGGGCTCTTTCTGCTTCTATTAGGACCTACAGCATTTCTATTCTCTGAGCTTTTGTTCTGTAATTCTGTCCTTATTTAATTGCTCACCCCTCTGCTTGACTGTCTTATACTGTCAGTCATCCTTCATTCTAACTCCATTATGAGACCATTCACTACTGAACGCCTCAGGATAGGAATTTGTGGTTCTTCTGGATATATTTGTGAGACCGATTGATAGCAAGACAAGTGAAGACTACCAACTGTTACTGTGTCATCTGTAGTCTTATCTGAGTTTACTGTCAGGTCACAGCCACTAGAATGTCTGTCATTTCATCTTTGTGCCTTTGGAGCCTGTGAGGGCAAGGTTTGAAACCTAATTCCACCACTTCCTATGTGCGTGACTCACGGCAAGTAACCTCTACGTTGGTTTCCTTTCCAAAAAAATGGAGCCATTACGACAAAACTCTGCCTCTCAAGGTTACAAAGGTTTAAAGAACAGATGTGAATTGTATGTAAAGAGCTTGGCACATGGTTCAAATACAGTGAGTAAATAGCAGTTCTTCACAGTCAACCCCTAACTGCATAAATTCTTTCTGGTCTACACAGTGATTTTGATTTCCTCTTAACAAGAAAACTTTTGTTTCTATAAATCATTTGAAAATGAACCATGGATTACATTATGACACCTGCATTGATATATCACTTTTCATATTTTGACACATTATCTTCTCAACTGAACTTTGGGCTTATACAGGTTGTTGTTGAGTGTCTTTCTATATAATGTGAATCTGTATAGGGTTTCTGAAAGGCGACTGGTGGGTTTGAACTGCCAACCTTCTGGTTAGCAGTCCAGTGCTTATCCTACAGCATCATACCAACTATTAGGTCTATAAAGATAATATAATCTGTCTCTATTATCAGAGAGAATTTGATTTAAAAATTCTGACACTGACCTCTTGTTACATTCATATTGCCTGGTAGTGTTTATCTATTTTTAGATGAAAAAAATGACCACTTAAAAATTTTCTCTGTATATGGTATCTGACACAGCACTTAACATTGAAATCTACGATTTCAAGTTCTCTCCTAGTTCTCAAAATTAATCTGATTAACCTTATCAAATATCTAAGTATATTTCTCTATAGCACTATATCTTTTTGTCTTCCTTAAAGTATATAGTCATATTAGTTTGCTATGCCTGTCCTACATTCTCACATTTCATATATACTAGCATATTTTCATTGCATTCTAATTATTCACTTGTGTTCTTTGAAGTCAGAGACATTTTTATCATATTCAGTCTCAGCTTAAAGACTAAATACATTGTGAATTTTTGTTGTGAAAGGGTCATGACTTATAATGCTTGTGTCCCCTTACTTCATGATGATAGTAATTAACCCATGGTGAATGCTCATTGAATATCAAACCTGCAAAAGGAAAACTGGGAGAGAAAAGAGCTAATTTCCATTTTCATTTTCAAAGGAGACAGACACAGAAAGCTGAGGCTAAACCCCCACCCCCCACCCCCCGCCATCATAGGTAGAGTAACAATAAGATACAGAAAATTACACCCAGGTAAGTGAAATTATAGGGCTTGTTGATCCTGGCAGCTGGCTAAGATACAGAAAATTACACCCAGGTAAGTGAAATTATAGGGCTTGTTGATTCTGGCAGCTGGCTAAGAATTTTGAATCCCTTCATTGTGTCTGTCCATTAATGCAGAGACGGACTAGGGGCTCTCGCAAGGAGATACCATAGCTTCATAAGAAAATAGTGATCAAGAACTTCTATAATGTAAGGAGCTTAGTTGATCTGGGAATGGGAGAGCTAGGAGGAAGGGGAGGGTAGTCATCTCAAAGTTGCTCTTTCAAGACAAGATGGTTCTACTCAGATTGGAGGTTATAGGCAAATTAAAATAGCAAGATTTTTAAAGGTATTTGTTCTAAAGATATTTGTTTTATAAAAGAAATATCAATGGTTCATCTAATGCATGGCAATGATTTCATAATGGTGGGACAGGAGATGGAAGAGAAGGAAGGACTGTCCTCAACTGTCTGCCAAACTGACAACCAAAGTCTTAGTGAAGACTTACTGAAGACCCTTGATTTAATCCTAGCTTCCTCAGGCATCTAAAGAGGTGGGAGAAGCCCCAAACATTCTCTCTCCTGCCACTTCCAAAGTCCTCAATTCTTTCCCAGGTGTCCTATTTATCCCTTTCTTTCGTTCTTCTACTACCTGCCCTTTAAGAAGCTTACTCCCCGCTTCCAAGAGCCACCAAACACGCCACAAAACTGCAGGCGAGCCAAGTTAGGATCCACCAAGTGGCAAACAGTACTAGAACTACAACTCCCAGAATGCTTAGCTTTGTTTTTAACCACTTTACAGTCGGTGAATCTGTAGGATTCACACTGGACTTCGAGCCCACCAGCCGCTTAGAGGGAGAAAGATAAGGCTTTCTGCTCTAGCAAAACGACCTTGGAAATCCTAGACAGTGTCGCTTTGAGTCAGAAGCCACTCGACAGCACTTAACGACAACCACCGCAGAAGGGAGCTACAAGCTTAGAAAGGAGGACAGTTCAGAGAAATTAGTATTCGGGTAGGCAAAATATGGTTTTGAGAGGAAGGCCCCGCGACTGGATTTTTGAGAGATACAGACAAGAAAATGAATATCCTTGTCTGTCTGCCCCGGGGGCAGTCCTGGTGTGACGCAGTGAGTTAATGCACTGAACTGCAAAGCGGTTTGAACCACAAGATCGGCGGTTCAAGCTCACCAGCTGCTCCTTGGAAACCCTATACAGGATCGCTATGGGTCGTAACAGACTCGATGACACTTAGCAACAACAACAGTGTCCTGTAGGGGGAAAGTAGCCGGATACACAACAAAATTTAGCCGTTTCTTATCCGATGTCACAGTACCAGGCGAAGATGAATCAGTTATCTAGACCACCCTCCCGAAGGCTCTTGGGATTAGGGTCGTTTTATGACGTCATAGCCAATCGCGAGCCGGAACACCTCGACGCTCTAGCCCGCCACGCACTCGCTGTCCAGCAGCTGGAGTTGAGTCGGCGCTCTAGCCCCGGAATTTGACTTTCCTTTTACCCGCGTCCCTTCCCTGGAAAGTCGGCGGGTCTGGTGGTTCCGCACGAGGGTTGGGTATTTAGTACACTTGGGTTCCTTCTTCGTAGAGGCAGGACAAGTACGTATGAGACGGCTCCGTCTATATATATGTAGGTCCTGAGACAGGATTGTAAAGACTTCTGAGTGCTGAGGTTTTAAGAAATCTCTTTTTTTCTGAAGTCCTCATTCTCATCCTCATACCAAGTCCGTCATGAACTTCCTGGACACCTGCTCCAGCTTCCAATCGGACCTGGATTTCTGTCCAGACTGCGGTTCGGTTCTACCTCTTCCTGGGGTTCAGGATACGGTCATCTGTGCTCGCTGTGGCTTCTCCATTAACGTGCGAGGTGAGGAACTCATACACAGTGGACTGGGCGGCAGAGGGCCCAGCATGGAAGATGGGAGGGATTGGAAGGGGACCCTAGCTAGAACAGGAGACTAGTAGGCACTTGTACATTTGATCCAGGATTGAGATCTGAAGGTGGCACAATTGAGTCTCCTTCCATTCTACTCCACAAATATTTCTTGTCTCCTGTGCAGATTTTGAAGGGAAAGTTGTGAAAACTTCAGTTGTGTTCCACAAACTGGGAACAGCTATGCCTACGTCGGTGGAGGAAGGACCTGAGTTCCAGGGGCCTGTGGTAAGTTAATGAGATCCAGAACTGTCCATAGTGGCAGAGGCGATTGCAAAGATCTGGAGAGCTGTGTACCCAGTTCCAAGAGTGAAGAAGGGTCTTAAGAGCAGACAGGTCAGCCTGATTTGTATGAGATGCAGGGGGCTATGACTGGGCCTTTCTGAGTTCACTAGTTTCTTCCCAGATTGACAGACGCTGCTCTCGATGTGGTCATGAGGGAATGGCTTACCATACCAGACAGATGCGCTCAGCTGACGAAGGGCAGACTGTCTTCTACACCTGTACCAACTGCAAGTAAGTATGATTTCCTCTCCCTCTGCCTTTCAGTCGGCTTGCTAACTAAACAAATATTACATTTTTACCAGATGAATTTTTTTTTTTTTCTTTGATCCCATCCCACATTTCTGTTTGGATAATAGGGAGATTAGAGATTTCTTTCTTAATTTAAATTAATTTTTTATAACCAGCCAGCCAAACTTTTTAAAATACTCAAAAGGGAATGAAAAAAATATCAAATGCAGGTATTACTTCGTGGCCACCATGTTATGCTGGACCCCTTCTACTGAAATCAAGGTAGTTTTACTTTGATGAGAGTTAATGAAGAGTGTGAACTCTGAATGGTTTTGAGAACTGGTTTTTGTCTTTGGTGTTCTGCAACTTCGTTATAATGTATCAACATAGGGCTATATTTTATTTATCCTGTTTGGGATCTGTTTGACTTTCCAAAACTGAGGATTGTTTTGTTTTGTTTTGTTTTGTTTTCAATCAATTTTATAAAATAATCGATTGCCCATTATATCATTGAATGTTGCCTTTTTCCTGCATGTTTAATGCTTACATTCTGGACCTCTAACTAGTCAAGCAGGTCTCCTGGTGTGGCGTGGAAGAATCAGCACTGGGTGGTGAACCACAAGGTCAAACCCACCAGCTGTTTCTCTGAAACCCTATACAGGGTTGCTATGAATCAGAAAAAACTTGATGGCACTTAACAACCACAACTAGTTGTGCAAGAAGTTCCTGAGTGGTGCAGAGGGTTAGGTGCTAGACTACTAGCTGAAAAGTCTGCTGTTTGAACTCACTCAGAGGTGCTTCCGAAAATAGGCCTGGGGGAGCTGCTTCTGAAAGGTCACAAACTTGAAACCCTATGAAGCAGTTCTAGTCTGCACTGTAGGGCTGCCATGAATTAAACTAGATGACGAACAGTTAGTTGTGTATTAACCCTTCTCTTCCCTGTTTGGAGTCCTGGCATGGTGCTGCAGGTTAATGTGCTAGACTGCAAAGTCGGTTTGAACCACAAGGTGGGCATTTCAAGCTCATCAACTGCTCCTCTGAAACCTTGTACAGGGTCGCTGTGGGTCAGAACTGACTCGACAGTACTTAACAAAATTCCCTGTTTATTTCAACCTGTCTGTCTTAGTTATCAAGTGCTGCTATAACAAATACCGTAAGTGTGTGGCTTTATATAACACATATATTTTCTCACAGTTTAGGAAGCTAGAAGTCTGAATTCAGGGGACCAGCTCTAGGGAAAGGCTTTCTCTCTCATTTGGCTCAGGGAAGGTCCTTGTCTCTTTTCAGCTTCTGTTCCTTGGTTCTTGTGATCTTGCCATTGCATGGAATCTGCCTTCCTCCATCTCAGCTTGCTTACTTAATCTGCTCAAAAGAGACTGATTTAAGACACACCATACTGCCTCATTAACGTAACAAAGAAAAACATTCCCAGATGGGATTGTAGTCACAGGTATAGGTATTAGCATTTATAACACATTTTGCTGGGACATAACTTAATTCTGGTATGGCGTCGTAGGATAATGCGCTGGACTGCAAGATCAGTTTAAACTGCAAGGTTGGCATTCAACCCCCCCACCAGCCTATACAGGATCAGTCAGAACTGACTCTGTGGCACTTAACAACACCAGTTCAATCCATAACACTGTCTTTCATAGTTTCCATCTTTTTTCTCTCTACTGCCTTCTGGGTACTTCCTACAAGTTTCTCTTCTACATTACCAATTCTGTCTTCAGTTTATTTCAATTACTATTACCACTCCCTCTCCCCATCAATTTTATGAGTTGATTAGTTTTTAAATCTCTTTAGTCATTTTTAATAGTTTCCTGTTCCTTAATCATATTTTAACTTTTCCCTTTTATTCTTTAAATATATATTGTTTTTAAATTGACTAATATCTGCTTCTATAGCCTTTGTGATCTGATGCTGCTGTTATTTCTGCTGATTCTCATGGTGATACCCCTACTTCCAACTTCCATATATTTCCTTTTCATTGAATTTGTTTCTGTTACAGAGTTCTTGCATTGTGAAAACCATGCCTGAGAATTCAAAAAAAAGAAATGGTGCAATGGACAGCCTCTTCTACCCAGCATACAGTGTATAAAACGTGATTCATGTGCTTTTTTCTTTCTTTGATTTAAGATTAAAAAATTTTTTTTTTACTATAATCTCAATTTTTTAGAACTTAAATTGTGGGAATTTTTTTGAGGCTTGGATAAATGGTATAGCATCAGCATTTATATTTTTCAGGTGTCTTGAAGGACCACCAAGCTGGAATCACTTTTAAGTAAATTCGTGGCATCAGGTTTCTTTGAACCATACATATAGTATGAATTTGGGCTGCAAAGCCATGCAAGAGCCAAGCTGTGGTTATTAATTCTCAGGGGAGATTTTTCTCTCCTGCCCATTGAAAGTCAAATTCCCCTTCTGTAGAGCTGGATTTGTTTTTCCTGGTTCACTTTTACATACAGACATACCCTTTGAGGGGGTGGCAAATTAATACAGGGATCTTCTATCAGGCATGTAGGTTTCGTCTCTGGTTTCTTATGCTCCATGTGCCTGTCAAAACAGTAGATCAGAGGCACTAGGGAAGCAGGGAGCGTTCAGTTTTAACTTACTTATCTGGTCATTTTGACCAGTAAAATTATTGCGTTTATTTTCTAGCCAACTTACTTTATACATGAAGAAGCTTCAAATGCTCATGGAAAAATGGAATGAAAAGATAATTAAATTGTTGCCACAAACTTTTTGATGCTCCTTCACATATACATACATCAGATAAATATATTGAGAGTATTTTCTCCCAGTCTCTAGCTCGCCTATTTTAATTTTTAATGAGTTGTTAAGTGCCATTGAGTTGATTCTGACTCATAGTGACCCTGTATAGGGTTTCTGAGGAGCGGCTGGTGGGTTTGAACCACTGACCTTATAGTTAACAGTCCAGAGCATATCCTATATATAGCACCACACTTACATTTATCCATGTTTTTTTCTTTTATGGTAATATTTTTGAGTCGTAAGAAATCTTGCATGTTTGTGTACTTCCAGGTCATAGTTCATAGGTTGTCCTTCTTAGTGCTGTCGAGTTGTTCCGACTCTAAGGGACCGGAACCAGTATAGGGTTTCCAAGGAGCGGCTGGTGAGCTTGTACCGCTACCTTGTGATTCAAATCAAACTTGCAGTCCTGTGCTTATCCTACAGCGCCACACCAGGACTTCATAAAGATTGTTGTTGTTAAGTGCCATCTAGTGGGTTCCAACTCATAGCAACCCTGTGTACGGTTTCCAAGATGCATCTGGTGGGTTTGAACTGCTGACCCTGTGGTTCCCAGTCCAGTGCTGATCCTACAGCACCACACCAGGTGTTTTTAGTTGTCCTAAAATGGTTTAGGAGATCAAGTCCCCCAAAGACGGTTGTAGGATAAGCACTAAACTGCTAACCATGAGGTTAGTGGTTCAAACCCACCAGTTGCTCCTTGGAAACCCTATACAGGGTCACTATGAGTTGGAACCAACTCGATGGCACTTAACAACAATAATAAGGTAGTGGTGGTTGTGTGCCATTGAGTTGCTTCTGACTCATAGTGATTCTGTCTAGGCTTTCTAAGACTATATGGTTACTGGAGCAGAAAGTCTCATCTTTCTCTTATAAGCGCGGCTGGTCTATTCGAACTACTGACCTTGCGGTTAGCAGCCCAGCGTGTAACCCACTGCACCACCAGGGCTCCTTTAGTCATCCATAGTGAGTTAAATAAAAGTCCTTCCTTGGTTATTTAATGATGTCTCATCATACATTGTTAGAAACTTCCTTTGGCCTAATATAATGAGTCCTTTCTTTCTCCATAGGTTCCAGGAGAAAGAAGACTCTTGATTTTTTTTCCTCTGGACTACTCAACAATTTCCCCCTCCCCTCCTCTTCCTTGGAGAGTGAAGGATATTGGTTCCTTAAATACCTTGTTCGTGACCTTTGGTTGCATTATCTTGTTCCCAGGAGAATCTGATCTGCATGGGGAATTACCGCCTTCTCAGAATACTCCTACCTTACTTAAGTTTTTTTATTAAAGTTATTTTTCTCTAGATGACTCGACATATGTATACTATTGATAACCTGCTTTATTTCAAAAGAAATTTAAATGAACTTCCAGAGATATATTTGTTCTTTCAGCAAATCGATCAACTACAGAAAAATAATATATATTAGTAGTACATGACAAAGAAAAAGACAAAAAATGAAGCCAGAAATGATGGTAATATAAAAAAGTAAGTATTTCCTCACTATCTGTTTGGCAACTGAAAATAGATTTAGAGAGTGAAATTTGAATAGTGAGAGATTCAACCGAAATTTTAACTAAATCTATTTGATTTATATGTTTGGAGATGAGCAAGAAGTTACTAAAATGGAATTTTTTTTCTTTTACTGCTCTGGAGATAAATGTAGCATATATGTTCATTGTATAAACTGACATAGAAAGAAAAAATAAATAACAGCGAATTTTACTCCACAAAGATAGCCAAATGATACATACATCCAACATGAGAGGGCTTCACAAAGTTCAAAATTGTATTCATATATCATGGAATTTTCCAACAGACTTTTTGAAGCCCCTTCATATGTATGTATGTGTGTATATGTTATATATCCATAAACGTATATGTGTGCACAGAGATTATATATGAGGGATCTTGGAACAGTTCCATGATATGTGTATAAATATATATATACATATATATATATATATATTGTTTCATTTTTCCACAAACATTTTGCAGGTTCCCCCCTCATATATTTATGTTTTTTAAATGGGTTATACTGTACATGGAGTACTGATGTGGGGCTGTGGGCTAATGCGCCAGACTGCAAAGTCAGTTTGATCTGCAAGGTCAGCGGTTCAAGCTCACCAGCTTCTCCTTGGAAACCCTATACAGGGTTGCTATGGGTCAGAACCAACTCGACGGCACTTAACAACAACATACTATACATAATGAATGATACCTTTTTTTTTTTTTTTTAATTTCAATTTGAGCCAAAAACTTTCAAGAGACACAAATCATTGTCCAGGCACAGTAAACATCAAACGTAGTATTGGAAATCAGCATTCTGCTACACTGTAATTCAGTGTCCAGCTTTCACATGCATGTGAAGTGATTGAAAATGCTGTGGCTTGGGTCAAGAGTACCTTAGTCATCAAAGTGACATCTAAGCTTTTTAATACATTGAAGAGGCCTTTTGTAGCTGACTTGCCAAGTGTAGTACATCATTTGGTTTATTGATTGCGGCTTCTATGGAGGTTTTTGTGGATTCAAGTAAACTGCAATCTTTTGACAACTTCAGTCTTTTCTGCATTTATCATGAGGCTACTTAATGATCCAGTTATGAGTATTTTTGTTTTATGTTGAGGTGTAATCCATGTTGAATGTTATACCCCAAACTCCATTGCCATCTTGTCGATTGTGACTCATAGGGACCCTAGAGGAGAGAGTAGAACTGCTCTCAGGGGTTTCCTGAGACTTTAAATCTTTATGGGAGCAAACAGCCTCATCTTACTCTTGTGGAGTGGCTGCCGACCTTGGAATCAACAGTCCAGTGCTTAACCCACTAACCTATGAGGGCTTTCATATTTGTCAGTAATTGCTTCAGATCCTTTTTGCTTTCACCAAACAGGATTTGTGTCATCTGCATATTGCAGGTTGTTAATAAGGCTTTCTTCAATCTTGATGGCTATATTCTTCTTCATAATATCCAGCTCTGCTAGATTAACTAAGTATGGTGAAAGGATGCAACCCTGATGCATGTCTTTCCTGAGTTTAAACCATGCAGTATTGTATCCCCTTGTTCTGTTCAAACTACTGCCTCTTGATCTATGTACAGGTTCTGCATGAGCACAGTGAATTGTTCTGGAATTTCCAATCTTCACAATGCCATCCATAATTTCATATGACCCACAGAGTCAAATGCTTTGGCACACTCAATAAAACACAGGTGACATTTTTTTGGTGTTCTCAGCTTTCAGCCAAAATCTGTCTGACATCAGCAATGATATACCTGGTTCTGCGTCCTCTTCTGAATCTGCCTTGGATTTCTGGCAGTTCCCTATTGATGTACTGCAGCAACTGTTTGTGAATTATCATCAGCAAAAATTTACTTAATGATATTGTTCAATAATCTGCCTCCTTTGGATTTTACCCTTCTTTGGAATGTACACAGTTATGGATCACGTGTCTAAGTGGTTTGTGTCTTAGTTACCTAATGCTGCTATAACATAAATAACACAAGTAGGTGACTTCAATACAAATTTATTCTTTTAATGGTTTATGAAGTTAGAAGTCCAAATTCAGAGAGCTGGCTCTGTTAGGTGTTTCTGAGTCAATTCCTACTCATAGAACCCTATGCACAAAAGAATGAAACACTGCCTAGTCCTGTACCATCCTCACAGTCATTGTCACCCATACGCCCACTGCTACTGCCACTGTGCCACTCCATCTTATTGGGGTCTTCCTCTTTTTTGCTGACCCTCCACTTTACCTAGTATGATGTCCTCCACAGACAGGTCCCTCCTGATAATGTGCCCAAAGTATGAGAGACGAATTCTTGCTATCCTGGCTTCTAAGGAACTTTCTGGGTGTACTTCCAACACAGATTTGCTTGGTTTTCTGGCACTTTGATACTTTTAATATTCTTCTCCACCACCATGATTCAAGTGTTTCAATTTTTCTGCAGTCTTCCTTATTCATAGTCCAACTTTCACATGCATATGAGGCTATTGAAAATACTATAATGTGGATCAGGTGTACCCTAATCCTCAAACTGACATCTTTGTTCTTGAACACTTTCAAGAGGTCTTGGGCAGATTTGTCTAATGCCATACATTGTCCTTTGATTTCTTGTCTGCTGCTTCCGTGAGTGTTCATAGTGGATCCAAGCAAAATGAAGTCTTTGACAACTTCAAACTTTTTCTCTGTTTATCATGATGTTATCTATTGGTTCAATGGTGAGGATTTTTGTTTTCTTTATATTGAGGTACAGCCCATACTGATGGCTGTGGTCTTTGAGCTTCATCAGTAACTATTTAAAGTCCTCTTTGCCTTCAGTAAGAAAAGTTGTATCATCTGCATTTTGCAGGTTGTTAATGAGTTTTCCTCCATTCTGATATCACATTGTTCTTCATATAATTCAGCTTCATGAATTATTTGCATAGCATACATATTGAATAAGCATGGTAAATTAATACAACCCTGGCACACACCTTTCCTGATTTTAAACCATTCAGTGTCCCCTTGTTCTGTTCTAACGACTGCCTCTTGGTCTATGTACAGGTTCCTCATTAGCAAAATAAAGTGTTCTAAAGTAACCATTCTTTGAAATTTTATCCATTAGCTTGTCATGATCCAGTGTCAAAAGCCTTTGCATAGTCAGCAAACATCTTCCTACTATTCTCTGCTTTCAGCCAAGATCCTTACGTCATCAGCAATGACATCCCTTGATCTATGTCCTTATCTGAATCTGGCTTGAATCTTTGACAGTTCCCTTCATTGTACTGTTGCAGCCATACTTTATCTTCAGCAAAAAAATTTACTTGCATGTGACAGTAATGATATTGTTCGATGATTTTTGCATTCCACTGGATCACCTCTCTTTGGAATGGGCACGAATATGGATATTTCCCAATCAGTTGGCCAGGTAGCTGTCTTCCAGATTTCTTGGCATCGATGAGTGAGTGCCTCCAGTGCTGCATCAGTTTGTTATTTCAATTACTATTCCATCAGTTCCTGGAGCCTTGTTCTTTGCCAGTGCCTCAATGCACCTTGGACTACTTCCTTCAGTATCATTAGCTCTTGATCATATGGTACTTCTTGAAATGGTTGAACATTGACCATTTGTTTGGTACAGTGACTGTATTTCTTCCTCTTTTTTTTTTTTTTTTTTGATGCTTTCTACATCATTCAATATTTTGCCCATAGACTCCTTCAATATTGAAAATCATGGCTTAAAGTTTTTTCTTCAGTTATTTCAGCTTGAGAAATGCTGAGCATGCTATCTTACCTTTGATTTTCTAACTTATAATTTCATTATAATAATTCACTTTATCTTCCCAAGCTGCCCTTTGAGATGTCTTGTTCAGCTCTATTTCCTCATTTCTTCCATTTGCTTTAGCATCTCTATGCTGGAGAACAAATTTCAGAGTCTGTTCTGACATCCATTTTGATCTTTTTTTCTCACCTATCTTTTAATAACCTTTTGCTTTCTTCCTGTATGCTGTTTTTGAAGTCATCCCACACTTCTGTTCTTCAGTCATTCATGTCAAATGCATCAAATCTGTCTTTGAGATGATCTCTAAATTCAGGTGAGATAAAATTAAGATCATATTTTGGCTTTCATGGACTTATTTTAATTCTTCAGTTTAAGCCTGAAATTGTCATGAGCAATTGATGATCTGTTCCATAGTCTGCCCCTGGCCGTATTTTGGCTGATGATATTCAGTTTTTCCATTATATTTTTCCATAGATGTAGTTAATTTGATTTCTATGTATTCTATCTGGTGAGGTCCACATGTATAGTCACATTTTATGTTGTTTGAAAAAGGTATTTTCGGTAAAGAAGTTATTGGTCTTGAAAATTTTTATCATGTGATCTCCAGCATTTTTTCTATCACCAAGGCCATATTTTCCAACTACTGATACTTCCTTTTTGTTTCCAACCTTTGCATTCCAAATCACCAGTAATTATCAATACATCTTGTTTGCATTTTTGTTCAGTTTTATTATCACTAAGTTTAGTGATTGGTGCATAAATTTGAATCATAGTGGTATTAACTGGTCTTCCCTGTAGGTCTGTGGATATTATCCCATCACAGATAGTGTTGTACTTCAGCATACATCTTGAAATGTTCTTTTTGATAAATATTTGTCATTCCCAGCATTATAAATCTTATGATGGTCAGATTTAAAATGGCCAATACCAAGTCTATTTCAGTACACTGGTACTTAGGATATTGATTTTTATGGGTTCCATTTCATTTTTGACAGCTTCCCATTTTCCTAGATTCATGCTTCTGAATTCCATGTTCCAATTACTAATAGATATTTACAACTGTTTCTCCTTCTTTTGAGTTGTTCCCAAATAGCAAATGAAGGCCCCAAAAGCTTTACTCCATTCACGTCATCACGGTCAACTCTACTTTGCCAAAAGAAAAAACAAATCTGTGTTGGAAAAAATACAAACAGAATGCTCCTTAGAAGCCAGGATGGCCAGACTTGGTCTCTCATACTTCAGACATATTATCAGAAGGGACCAAGCCCTAGAGAAGGACACCATGCTTGGTAAAGTGGAGGGTCAGCAAAAAAGAGGAAGATCCCAGTGAGATGGATTGGCACAGTGGCAGCAGCAATGGGCTCAAACGAAGCAACGATTGTGTGGTTGACGCAGGACCAAGTAGTGTTTTTGTTCTGTTGTGCATAGGGTCACTATGAGTCAGTACTGACTCTGGCACCTAACAACAAAAACTATACCCATTCACTTTATCTACTTCATGGTCAAATAAAAGTGTCAGAGTCTTTTCTGACCTACATTTTGGTCTTTTGGGTTTTGCCTGTCTTAAATGACCTTTTGCTTTAAATATAATGTCCTTGTCACAACTCATCTAATCTTTGGTCATTAGCATTCAGTGCCTCAAATCTATTCTTGAGATGGTCTCTAAATCCAGGTGACTTATACTCAAGGTAGTACTTTGGCTCCTATTGACTTATTTTAATTTTCTTTAGCTTCAACTTGAACTTGCATATGAGCAAGTAATAGTGTGTTTTGCAGTTGGCCCTGGCTTTGTTCTGACTGATGGTATTGAGCTTCTCCATCATCTCTTTCCACAGATGTAGTCAATTTGATTCTTATGTATTCCATCCACCAAGGTCCATGTGTATAGTTGCCACTTATGTTGTTGAAAAAACATTTTCAGTGAATTTGTATTAGCAAGGAATAAACCATTGGTCATGCAAAACTCTATCATGCAATCTCCAGCATCATTCTGTCACTAAGACCACCTCTTCCAGACTGATCCTTCTTTGTTTCCAACTGTTGCATTCCAGTCACCAGTAATTATCAATCAATGCATGTTTCATCAATTTCATACTGTAGAAGTTGGTAAAAATCTCTGATTTCATCTTTGGCATTAGTGGTTGGTATGTAAGTTTGAGTCACAGTCGTAGTAACTGGTCTTCCTTGTTGTTAAGTCTCACTGAGCTGGCTCCAACTCAGACTGACCCTATATAGGATTTCCAAGGAGCAGATGTTGGTTTTGAACTGCTGACCTTGTGGTTATCAGTCCAATGCTTAGCCTACATCACCACACCAAGAGCCCATTGTTGTTGTTAAGTGCTGTCGAGTCGGTTCCGACCTACAGCAACCCTGCATAGGGTTTCTGAGGAGTGACTGGTGAGCTTGAACCACTGACTGCAGTTCAAACAGCTTTGCAGTCTAGCGCATTAACCCACAGTGCCACACCAGGACTCTAAGAACCCATAGGGGTATGGATATAATCCTATCATTGACAGTATTTTACTTCAGGATAGATCTTGAAATGTTCTTTTTGATTATTTGTTTTTATTTTTGTTAAATGCCATCAAGTCAGTTCCGACTCGTAGCAACCTTGTATAGGGTTTCCAAGGAGCGGCTAGTGAGTTTGAACAGGCAACTTTGCAATTCAAACCAACCTTGAGATCGAGTGCTTATCCTATGGCACCACACCAGGACTCCATACCCAGTATATTGTTGTTATGTGCCGTTCAGTCTGTTCTGACCCATAGCAACCCTGTATAGAGTTTCCAAGGAGCAGCTGGTGAGCTTGAACCATTGACCTTGCAGTTCAAACCAACATTATAGTCCAGTGTATTAACCCACAGCACCACACCAGGACTCCACCCAGTATGTTGTTGTTGTTAAGTGCCATTGAGTCATTTCTGACCCATAGCAACCCTGTATAGGATTTCCAAGGAGCAGCTGGTGAGCTTGAACCGCCAACCTTGCAGTTCAAACAGCTGTGCACTCTGGCGCATTAACCTACAGCGCCACACCAGGACTCTTCTACCCACTATAGTAAACCATATAATTGTATGATTCAAAATGGCCAATTCTAGTCCATTTCAACTCACTAGTCCATTTCAGATACTAGGATATGTATCTTTAAGCCTTCCACTTCGCTTTAGACAAATGTCAATTTCCCTAGATTCATACATACTTCATACATTTTACATTCTGATTATTAATGTATGTTTGCAGCTGTTTCTTATCTTGAGTCATGCCACATCACCAAATTAAGGTCCTGAAAACTGTATTTCATTGATGCTACTTTGAGGAAACAGCTCTTCCTTCGTAGAATTTTGAGTGCCTATCAATGTGAGGGATTCATATTCTGGCACTATAGCAGACAATGTCTTCTGCTGCTGTTCATAAAGTTTTACAGGCCAGTTTTTTTGTTTTCTTAAGTACATTACCTAGTTCATCTTTTTAGTCTTAGTCCGGAAATTCCACTGAAACCTGTCCACCCTGGCATTTGAAATACCGGTATAACTTCTAGCATCACAGCGACATGCAAATCACTCCTGTATGATAAACTGACACATGAGTGGTGGTTTCTCCCCTTAATCTTATCTCCAGCCCAGTGACAAGCTCCAGTCAAAGAATGCAGTTAAATTCAGTTTCATAGATAAGATTTAATCCTATTTTAATATACCAATGTACTATGTTAAATACCTCTTTCCCATTACAATGGGAATCAATGTTTTATGCACTTACATCAGAGCCTAGTAGTAACTGTAAAAACTCAAGTTGAGTACATGGAGTGTCCTGTCTGCACACTTACAGATACATGCCATAGGTTACAACCTCAAGTGTGTTTTCAGCTGCATCAAAGTTCTATTTCCCTAATTCTCCAAAGTAACGATCAGGAAACTGGAATTGTAGAGTGATTACTATTGCCCCTTAGATTTCTCCGCCCCACCCTCACCCCCGGAATAAGGATCTCGGGCTCAGCTACAAAACATCTCAATCTTGGGGCCTGCGATTGTTCCGGCCTCAGCCGGAGCGGCGACCTATTGGTAGCACCATGCCGGTCCCAAATCTTGGTAGACAACCCCTCCTGCTTTATCTCTGGTGCGCTTGCTGTCGCGTCCTTCCCCTTAATCACCACCCACTTCTTTACACACACCCGCAATGACGCTCCTTCCGCTAACTAGCTAGTGCTTGAGGCGCCTGCGCAAGAAGACGGAACTAATCCAGTCGCGCCTGCGCTCTCACGCATTTGGCGAGGGGAAGGGAAAAGGGGGGGCGCCTACAGAAGTCGTCATACCCGGAAGCCGGTAGCCGGAAGTGGAGTTGGGCTGATGATACCTTAGGGTGGGGAAGCGGAGGCCCAGGAGGAGGGGGATTAAAAAAAAAAAAAAAGAAGGCGGAGGACCCAGGCTACTACTCTGAATCTGATACCCATTCGCACAGATCTCAGAAACACAGAAAAAGGAAAGAGTGTCTTGTCCCTGTGCCTCCCGTCCATCCTGCCCTCAGCCGTAGCCATGGCCGAGGCAGGGACCGGGCTGAGTGAGACCGTCACTGAGACAACGGTTACCGTGACAACCGAGCCCGTGAGAAAGGCGGGGGGCTGGTGCTGTTTAGGGGTCTAGAAGAACCCAGGAGGGAGGGGATAGAGCAGTAGAGAGCTGCTCCAGGGCCTGCTAGGAGAGCTGGGCGGAATTGGGTTGAATATCTGGGGTTTGGAGAATCATTAGTATTGAGGATAGTTGGATGGTGCAGGAGGCTATTTAAGGGACATGTAATGGCTTAGAGTTCGGATATAGGTGATGTAGCTTGGGTTGGTGGTGGTTTAAATAATGAAAAAAAAAAAAAAGTTGGGGCTAAGGAGCAAAGGTACTGGGGGGATGAAGTATAAGCATGATTGGAATTTAGCTGTAAGTAAATGGAACTCGAAGCATACGTAATAGTTTCTGAACTGTTGAACGTAAATGAGTGGAAGGAATAACAACAACAAAAAAGGAGACGAAGATAGTGTTTTGAGAAATCAGAGGGGAGACGTGAGATGAAGAAATAAGTAGTGTTTTTGCAAAAACAGATCAGGGTGTTTTCAAGAGGAGGTGGCATTGGACTTAATCTCTGCATTAAGGAATTTTCAAATAGTAACTTGAGATGCCAATATGCTAGGGAATAGATGGATTGTGGTTGTTAAGTGCTGTTGAGTCGGTTCCTCCTCACAGCAACCCTGTATAGGGTTTCTGAGGATTGGCTGGTGGGTTTGAACTGCCAGCCTTGCAGTTATCAGTCCAGTGCTTATCCTACAACACTGCACCAGGACTTCTAGGGAATAGATGAATAGGAGGCGGCAAGTTCTGAACTAGATCTGAAGGGTGAGATCTGTAGGGTTTTTCATGGACAAAAAGAATTTTAAGGGGGCAGGGAAGGTGTTCTGGAGAAAGAAAAGGTGATCAAAGATTAGACATTGGAGACAGAATACAGATTTCATTATTAATACCACCAAGAATGATTTGCAGGAAGACAGAGATACTTCAAGGATATGTTGCTTTGAAGATTTTCTGGGTCCTTCCCTTGATTAGGAATTATGTCTTCTCTTTACATTAGCAGACATCAAGAACTGCAATTAATGCTTCAGTATTCCTTGGGGGACTTCCTGAGGACAAAGACCTGTTCTATTTTATCATTTCCCAGCACTCATTTCTTCTAAGTGCTATGTCTGTGGTACTGACTGAACTAGGAAGAGATGCAAAAAGGCTGCTGGAAGGGAGTGGGAATGGTCATCAGGAAGGGAGTAGATAGGTATGTCTATCCTTCTTAACCTTCCAGGAGAACCGGAGTCTAACCATCAAACTTCGAAAACGGAAGCCAGAGAAAAAGGTGGAATGGACAAGTGACACTGTGGACAATGAGCACATGGGGCGCCGCTCATCAAAATGTGAGTAGCCATTGGTGCATAGGATTGGTCCATAGGAGCCCTGGAGTATGGCTCCGCCCTGCAAGTCTACCTTAAATCTACTGGATACCTTGAGGCCCCCAGATGCTTATGATCCTGTTGCTGTCTTGCTGGTTTTGCGACATTAGAACCCCACCTACTGCCATCGAGTGAGTTCTGACTCATAGCAACCTCATAGGACAGAGTAGAACTGCTCCCGTAAATATCATTTTTCTCACTCAGAGTTGCCTGGTGACTTTGAATGCTGACTCTGCAGTTAGCCCACTTTGTCACCAGGGCTCCTCATGGTTAACAATAGAGAAAAAGAGGTAGAGAGGGGGTTTGGACTGGGCTGTGTCTAGGCCTGACAGCAAGTGACTGCAGAAATGGGGTTTTTGATTTCTGACTTGAAAAGGAGATCCCAGGACATGAAGGTTGGGTGCCTGAGTCCCAGAGGGTGGGCCAGAGGAAATTGTGTCCTGGAAAGTAGGAGGAGGCAGTGGCCAACATAGGAATTTTCCCTGGGCTCAGTGGGAATGGAGCTGATGCTTCAACGTACTCTTCTTTTTTTTAACTGGGCTCCCTTCCCCTTTCAAATCCAGGCTGCTGTATTTATGAGAAGCCTCGGGCCTTTGGCGAGAGCTCCACGGAGAGTGATGAGGAAGACGAGGAGGGCTGTGGTCATACACACTGTGTCCGGGGCCATCGCAAAGGACGGCGTCGTCCATCCCAGGAACCGACCCCCACCACCCCTCCCCAGCCTCCTGACCCCTGCCAGTCTCCTCCAGGGCCAATGCAGCACTAAATGTCCTCTCTCCCTCACCATTCTTGTGTCTGTCTGGCCTTGAATGTATCATGTGGCTACTTGGGGGTCAAACCCAGGGTTCAGTCCCTTCTCTAGTCCCCCTCCTTCCCTCTCCTCTGCATGATAGAGGGAAGAAGGAGAGGAGGTTGGACAGAGGTCTTGGAATTCTGACTTGCTGCTATACCAGAACCCAGGCTTCTGGGTTCCCCCAGCCCTCGTTCCTCCTCCTTCCTTTCCTATCAAGGGTTCTAGGCGTCTTGGTCTCAGTCTCTTTCCTTGTTCTCACTGCCAAAACAGCCTGTCCTGGGATCCAGTTATCTCAGCACCACCCTACCATGCACTCTCAAGTATTTGAGTCCCAAACCCTTAAATTGGGTTTTTAACAGCCCCAGTTTTCACTGCTAAGGTCCCAGTCAGATTCAGGCAGTCTTACCCCAGTTATGCTTTTTAATCCTGGCTTAGAGCTCTTCCACTACCATACTTATGCAATCCTAACGGGTCAGTGGGATGTGAGGTCTCGTGGCAGACCTCAGAGATCCTCTTCAGCCCACTCCCTGGAGCCCTCTAGAAGAGTTAAGAGAGGCCTTTGTCATTCTCACCTCTACTGGAAAAAGGAACAAAGAATAGTCATGTCCTTTCTCCCCACCCTTCTCAGGGGATCTCTAATTCCTGACAAAGCTGGCTTCCAGACTGGTCAGTTAGTGCTAACTATCTCCTTTGCCTTTGGTCTTCCAGCTTCTGAAACAGATCCAACCCAGTCTCGGGGGCATGGATTCCTAGGAGAGGAATGGAAAGAGGGAGCAGAGAGATGGGGGTGTCCCCTTACACTCTTACTTCTTCCTTCCTAGGCTTTAATGTCTTTCTCGCCTAGATGTCCAAGTCTCTCAGCCCTCCCTGCCCCTTACTGTGATCTGGGCATCTGTCATTCCCCCCATGCCTCTTGACATGCATGGTTGCAGAGATCAATCAAATCCATACCACCATGGCGGTCTCATTTATTGTCACAGATGCACAAAATAAATAATCCAACATCACAAAACGTGTTAAATATGGACCCGTTTATACACATGGGAAAAGGGGTGAGCTTATATACACAAGCACGAGCTTTGGGGTATCTGGACTGTTACCAGGCAGAGAGGAGAGGTAGTACCACTGGTTGGTTCCACTGTATATGTGCAGGAGGAAGACTTAAGGTTCTTCATGGAGAAAAGTTGTGAACTTAGGAAGCACTCATGCATGGGGAACTGGCCCACCAAAAAGAAAAGAAAAAACTGCTAAGCTTTCCAGAGGGCACTGAGGCCCAGGCCAGAATTAGGCCTCCTCGTTTTTAGGAGAAGGCTCTTGTCTAGAAGTTTCAAAGTGCACAAGCCTGAGGGCTGTGCAGCTAGGAGAGGGTAGAATAGGAGGTCAATTTGAGGGAGCTTAAAAAAGTTCATGGACAAATGGCGTTTCCCATGAACTTTTTGAAGCCCCATCAGATGTGACTAGCAGTTAGTGCATCTGTGTGGTAAACATGGGTTGATTCTCAATACTGATAGGGCAGGGCCTCCTCTCTAAATCAGATCTGGAATTGTGTAAAAGTGGGGAACACAGGGGTAGCAGTGAAGAAGAGTTCCAAGAAGGAAAGGTGGGAATGGATTCCGCTTTGGGTGTAGACACCTGAAGACCAGTTGAGGTCTCCCTATTTGGGGGAAACTGAGAAGGGAGGGAACTTGAATGTTCTGCCAATGAGCAGGTGATTCCTGGATTGAGTCTGAACGTCTAAGAGGAAGCAGCCGTTGGAGGCTGAAATGAGCTGTGGGTTGGATGGGATACTCAGCCTTCTGCGGGTATGATGCGAAGCGGGGTTCGGGGGTCTCGGGTGCAAAACAGTGGGAAGATGCGCTCCCCCAGGGGGCCTGGTGACTGGAAGGCAAAGAGGAGATCAAGCGAACGGCCGTCATAGAAAGCCACCCGGCCCCTCTCCCAGTCTAAGTCCACACGAATACGCCTCGGCGGGGGCCCAGTGCCGCCCAGTGGGGTAGGTTCGGGGGCCGTGAGGGCCCACAGGCGGCCCCCACGGTCTTCCACGGCCCAGACAGCCCCTGCGGGGCACAGTCCAACTCGGCCCTTGCGTCGCACTGACTCCCCGGCTGCCCCCACGGCGTAGCGGCTCTCCCTGTCATCCTCATCCTCCCCAGAGGAGTCCTTGCAGGAAGCGGTGTCCGCTGTCTCCACCTCCCAGCAGTGGCGTCCAGCACCGAAGCCCTGTGCGCCCAGCACGGCTGGGAGCTGGTCGAAACGCGCAGGGCTGTCAGGGGGCGCGGGTGTCCCTGGTGGGGCCAGGCGGACACTGCGACAGTCGGAAGAGATGAGGAGGCCGCGGTGCGCGGTACGGGGGTCCAGGGTCAGGTCGGCTGGAAAGGGGGAGACAGAGAGGACTGCGTGAGACGGGTGGATAGAGGTGCTAGAGGCCCCCAACAGCTGCAGGCAGAGAAAAGAGGGCAAGGGCTATGAAAGTCAGAACACCCTGCACACTGACCTCTAGAATAGGACTCGGGGGCTGGTCCTGCTGGCTGGGGAAAGGGGGCACAACTCAGAGATCAGAGTGGTCAGAAATGGGCTAGTGAGACAGATGGTGACTTCCAGGGAGAGGTGAGGACAGATACCTAGGCACTGGCAACTGGGGTGTGGTGTGGGAGCTGGCTCTAAAGAGAAAGACGGATACCAGAACCACAGGTGATGGAGGGGCGGGGCAAAGGGAGGAATCTAAGACAGCCTGAGAAACCAGCCCACCCACCCACAGGAGCAGGTGCAGCTGTGGTGTGTGCTGGTGTTATGTGCCGTGGAGTCAGTTCCCACTCATAGAGACCCTGTACAGGGTGTCTGAGGCTATAAATCTTTACAGGAGCAGAAAGCCTCATCTTTCTCCCTCGGAACAGCTGGTTATTTCAAACTGCTGACTGTGAGGTTCGCAGCCCTATTCGTAACCATTATGCAGGTAGCCAGACTTAGTTCTGTAGAGAGGGTGGGATAGAGGAGAGAGATGATGATGATGTAGTTGTTAAGTGCCATGGAGTTGGTTCCAAAGCACAGAGAGAGGATTTCCAAGGAGCAGCTGGTGGGTTTGAACCACTGACCTTTTGGTTAGCAGTCCAATGCTTATTCTACAGTACCACACCAGGAGAGAGAAGCTGATGACAGAGACCAGAAAAATAACCATTGATTTATATATTTACGGGGGTGCTTTAAGGAAAGATTTCTGGATGAAGAGTGTTAGAAACAATCTGGGTTGGGTGGGAGGGTGGGTGACCAAGAGGATGAAGTGTGTTCTCTTGAAGTTTAAAGAAGAGTGGTGGTGGGGTAGCCCTGAGAGTGAGTTAAGAAGGAACTCTGTATACCCCTAAAGCTGCTGCAGAGAAGGCCCAGCATCCAGGAACAGGGAGATGCTGAAGTTCTGGGACTCTTATGGAGAGGGGTTATGAGACAAAGTAGAATAGAAGGAGCTCTGGTAGCGTAGTGGTTATGAACCAGGCTGCTAACCTCAAGGTCAGATAGTTCGAAACTACCAGCAATTCCATGGGAGAAAGATGAGGCTTTCTGCTCCCGTAAAGATTTACAGCCTCGGAAACCCTATACAGGGTCATTATAAGTCGGAACCGACTCCACAGCACACCACCACCAAGAGGCAATTGACCTCCAGGGATCTACTCTGAGAGCATACAAGAGAAGAGGAAAATATGGCTGGGCGATGAGGAACTGAGATTAGATATAAAAAAGACCCGATCATCTCTGAGAGATGATCACACTCATTCAGTTCCCTCCCTCCTTCCTTCCTTACCAGTCAGTCTGTGAAGCATGTTTTTGACCACTGGGTAATCTTCAGGGAAATCATCCTCTGAGTTAGATGACTTGGGCATTGGGGCATCAAATCTGAACAGATCAGGGAGCAGTGTCAGGAAGTCAGTAGACACCCCTCTGTTCTGGGATGCCCTACTGCCACCCCACTCACATCTCTAAAATAGGAAGGGATGAAGCCATCCCCAGAGAAGCAGTCTATGAGTAGGGTCAGAGGTGTGTGCACTAGGGCCCAGAGGAAAGGTGGTGGTATGGTGCTGGGAAGTGAACAGGAAGGAACAGAAAACTCACCGTCTCCATGTCGTCCTCATATCCTGTGGTGGGCAGAAGAAAACACGGAAGTGAGCTCTGGGCTTCATACTGTGGGAGCCTTGTATGTTCTCCCCTACCCCTCCCCAGGTGTAAGTGGGTGGGACCCTTTCCACCTGTCAGTGTATTCTCGCCTCTTTATCCTCCCTCTCCTTCTCCCCTTCCCCTTTCATGACCCTTCCTTCCTCTCACTCCATCACACATGCCACCTCTTCCTTGACCACAACGGTCCCCTTAGAGCATGCAGAAGGCTGCCTGGCCTTGCTGTTTGCTTACCACTTTCTCTTCATTCTCCTTACTCTACTCCCTTTGGTCCTTTCCTTCCAGCTCCATTCCCTAAGGGATCTTGGTTCTCTTTCTCTAACCTCATCCCTGCTGTTTCTTGCCCTCAGAGTTCCTGCTGTCCGCTGTTTCCTCAGCCCATCTGTCTCTTTCAGCGGCTCCTACTTTTTTCCACCTTACTGACTTTATCCCCAGACAGTGCTCCACCTCCCTCTATCACACACACCCAAAGCCCTTGGACCAAACTGACCAAAGAGTTGGTATATAAAAACGTCATAATAAAGCTGCTTCCCCTTTTGCCATAAAAGCCCAGTAGCATTTATTGGCTCTTTGTTTTGTGTCTCTCTAACCTGACCAGGTAGGCAGGGTAGGTTGGGCTTGGATGTGTTCCATGAAGTTCAACAGATCTGCAGGATACCATGGAACTTAGAAGGGGGTTGAGTGCTCCCTCCTCACTTCTAATACTTGGATACCCCCCCACACACACACACAGAGACTTCAGTGTCCAGTGGGGGTGGCAGGAGCTGGCCAGTCTGGTAGAGATGGGAAGAGAAGACAATTTGCCTAATTAAGCCAATTACATCTAGACTAATTAGGTTTGTGAAGTCTTCAAAGGGAGGAAGCTAGGGCTGCTGGGGAGAAGCCAGTCGGAAATCCGGATGCCTGGGGGTCGGGCTAGGGAATGAGGTTGGATGAGTGAAGCAGGGACCCAGAGGGGTATAAGGGTGGTGAATGGGTGCAAAGAGCTGGGATGTAGAAAGGAGCCAGGAGCCCCACCGGCTGCTGCTCTCCCAAACCTGGCTTCCTCCCACCACCGCCCCTGCCTGGAGCCATGGGAGGAATGAAGGACAACAATAATAAACAACAGGCAGCTAGGGCTGGGGCAAGGGACCAGCACCAGGAGCCTACCACATTCCTCAGCACCCCGCACCCCCCAAGCCTCACTCCTTTTGACAGCCCATTCCTACCTGCCTTTTGCTGAAGCTTCTCCTAAGCCTCCTCTATCCCTTCTCCCTTTCTCTAGTTCCAGTTGGCCAGAAGCCATTGGCTCTTTCCCCTCTGCCAATCTCCTTCTGGGACCTGAGAGGCAGCCTTCACCTTCCTCCCTCAGTTCCCAAGCTCTCCTTAGGGTCTCCCGTGGCTATGTGCCCTGTCTGTTCCAACTCATAGCGACCCTGTATAGGAGTTCCCAGGCTGTAAATCTTTAGGGAACAGAAAGCTTCATCTTTCTCCCACAGAGTGGCTTGGTAGATGTGAACTGCTGGCTTTGACCTAGCAACCCAACTCGTAACCCACTACACTACTAGAGAAAAATGGGACCTCAACTTCTTGGCTTCTTCTCCAAGTCCTTCACTCCAGATCCTCTCAGAAGACCCAGGCATCCATCCAGTTCTTTACGCTCTGAGCCAAGTGTCAACTCCTTTTCCACCATCCTTCCTGGAACCTCTCAACTCTGGGACCTGGCTCTTCCATTCTGTTTTTCTCTCCCCAACTCTATATTCCTTGCCTAAACTTCCATATAGTGAGGTTGGCCCAGGATCAGGCAGTGTTTCGTTCTGCTGTGCATAAGGTCGCTATGGGTCGGTACCGACTCGATGGCACCTAACAACATCAACAAATTTCCATAAGGGCCCGCTTTACCAAAACACCCACAGATTCGTTCTCTTCAACTACCAGGTCCAGACCCGCAAAGCGCACTCCCGCCTCACCTCTCCCTGCGGATCCAGGCTGCCCATGGTGGGGATGCGGCCCCCGCGGCGTCTGCCAGTGAGAGCCCCCGGCTCGGCCAGCTTCTCGCGCAGCCCACGGCTGATTCGCACCTCCACTGCCAGCCGCACGTTTGACCTCAGGCTGCGGCGGGGGCATGGCTGGCCACAGCACGGGCAGGCGGTGGGGGTCGCCTCCGTGCCGGTCGCCGGCGGGTCCCCCCAGCGGCGGGCCAAACACGCGCGGCAGAAGCTGTGCTCACACGCCAGGAGCACCGGGTCCTCGAAGGGGCCCCCGCACAGCGGGCACGTTGCCAGCTGCTCCAGACGCTCCACCAGCCCCGGGCCCAGCTCAGGCGCCTCCATGGGGAGCCCGGGTCTGGGCGCCAGCCCTTCCGCGACCACCGCGGCCGCCTTCGAGCGCGCAGAGAGCTGCCTGGCCTTGCTGCTTGCTGACTAGATGGCCCTCTCTCCTCCTCCCGCATTAACTTTCTGCACCTTTGCTGCCCCTCGCCTGTGGTTGCTTCGCGCGCTTCTCCAGGTGCCTCAATGTTGGTGAATCTCCCCACCTCACCAGGCTTTATAGGGAGGGAGGAGGCCCCCGCGGGAGGTAAACATCGGGCCCTTGCGTAACACCTCATCTGGTTCTCCCGCTTCTCGAGGAAGGTTTGGGGGAAGGGTGGGGAAGCCGGGACACCTAGATCTCGAGGGGAAATGTTGATCACTAGGGGGGCGCTCTGAGACCCAGATAGCACTGTGTGTGGAGGGTAGCCCCTTGCCTCGCCCCCCTGAAAAGCCGAGTCACCCCCTTGGCCTGTGGTATGAGGTGGACTGGGTGCCCGCGCTTGCTCCTGACATGTGTGTCCACATCGCCCTGGTATGAGTCATCCCAGGTGGCTGGCACACCTACATCTCGGGGCCGGAAACACGGATCATGGTTTGTGGCTTTGGTAGGCAGCTGAGTGTTACTGTGTGGCTGTCATTCTCAGCACCTCTCTCTATCTTTTTGCTTTACCTATTTTGGGCTTAAGAACATTCTGACTCTTTCGGGGGCGGGGTGGAGAAAGAAGGTGCCTATAGGCCTCCAGGAGCCAGAGCTCTGCCTCAGCTCTGCCTCTGGTTGCCTCTACCGGCCTCCATGTTACTTTCTGCCTATGTCAGTCTCTCTCTGGCTCCCTACTTCCCTCATGTGTTTTATTTTCATTTTTCCCTTTCCCCATCTACCTTGGAATAGCCCCATGGGATTATCTATTTAACTGTCTTCATTCACTGACACCCAGAGAACTGGAATTGTCCAAAGCCACAAGGCAGGGGAATACCAGAAGTGGAGCCAGAATCCAAATCTTCAGACTTTTGCCCTTTCTGTAACCGGACCCAACTTCTTTTTCACTCCAGATCTCTGGAACTCCTTCTGCAATTCTTTTCTGATCTTTTCCTGGGCCGTTTTCTCCACCTCCACCTCCATCTCTCTCTCTTTCTTCTGCGTACTCCTCCTCCTCCTTCCTCTCCCTTAGTCCTTGCTCCTCCGCCTCTCTCACGATAGATCTTTCCATTTATCTGTCTGGATACCCTCGGGTGTTTGTGACTAAGTAAATATCCAGGTGTCTACAACTATGAACACACACACTGTTGTACAAATATGCGTATGCATTGTTGTTGCTGTTAAGTGCATCAAGGCGGCTCTGATTCATAGCGACTCTGTATAGGGTTTCCGTGAGTTCGCATTACCAACATGTAAGTGCACAAACTTACTAGTGTGGCGCTGTAGGATAAACACTGGATCACAAGGTGGGCTTGAACCACAGGTCGGCAGCTCAAACTCACCAGTTGCTCCTCAGAAACCCTATACAGGGGCACTATGAGTGGGAACCAATTCAATGGCACTGAACGACAGCAACAACACTTAAATAAAATGCAAACATCACAGATATGCCCGACTTCAAACTCATAGACTCAGAATATTACTGGGATGGACACACAGTGTTATTTAGGGATAGATGGATATGCTCGAAGAAAACATTCAAAGAGACACTGTCATTAGTTTTATTATCAATAAGAACAACAGGACAACAACAGTAAGTCTTTATGGGGCCACAGCACTTTATTAAGTACCCCCTCCAGGCAGCTTCCCTCCCCCATACTTATCTGGGAGACACTCAAATATGACACCCTGATAAACAAGCACATGTCCATTTATCTTGGAGCAAACCTCCCAACTCAGTACTCATAAAACACACAGCTACCTGAGCTAAAGACGTCAGACAACACCAAAAGAGGGACTTTTATGATATGGTAGGTAGAATAATGGACCTCCAAAGATGCATTGTTGCTGTTGTTGTTAAGTGCCGTCGAGTCGATTCCGACCCATAGTGTCCCTCTATAAGGTTTCCAAGGAGCAGGTGGTGAGCTTGAACCACTGACCTTGCAGTTCAAACGACTGCAGTCTGAAGCATTAGTCCACAGTGCCACACCAGGACTCCAATTTGTTGTTGTTAGGTGCCATCAAGTCGGAACCAACTCATAGCGACCCTATGCACAGCAGAATGAAACAATGTCCGATCCTGGACCAACCTCACTACTGTTGCCACACATGAGTCCATCAATGCTGCCACCTGGCCAATCCATCTCCCATCTCGTTGGGGGTCTTCCTCTTTTTCTCTGTCCCTCCACCTTACCAAATATGACATCCTTCTCTAGTGACTGTTCCCTCCTGACAATATGTCCAAAGTATGAGAGACGAAGTTTGGCCATCTTGGCTACCACTCGTCTGTCTGTCGTGCTGTGGTGGCTTGAGTTGCTATGATTCTGAGGGCTATACCACCGGTATTTTAAATAACCAGCAGGGTCACCCATGGTGGACAGGTTTCAGATGAGCTTCCAGACAAAGACAGACTAGGAAGAAAGAATGACTAACTACTTCCAAATCGTTAGTCACTGAAAACCTTATGAATAGCAGGACTTTCCATACCAATGTGCTAATACCCAAATGTGCACAAACTTACTGGTGTGGTGCTGCAAGATAAGCACTGTACCGCAAGGTCTGCTTGAACCACAAGGTCGGCAGTTCAAACCCACCAGCTGCTCCTCAAAAAAACACTATCTGGCTATATGAGTCAGAACCAACTCAACAGCCCTTAACAATAACAACAACATGGTAAAGAGGAATTAAAGTTTCAAATGGAATTAAGGTTGCTAATCAAGCTGACCTTAATGTAGAGCGACAACCCTGTATTATCCAGGTGGGCCCAATGGAATCACAAGGGTCCTTAAGAATAGAAAATGAAAGCAGAAACAGAGAAGCAGAGGGTTGGCAGTATATATGAGAATGATTCAGCCCAATGTTGCTGGCTTTGAAGATGGAGGAAAGGAGGCACAAGTCAAGAAAAATGATGGCCTCTAGAAGCTACAAAAGGCAAAGGAATGGAATGTGCCACTAGTACATTCCAGAAGGAACCTGCCCTACCAATACTTTGATTTTAGTTCATTACACCCATTTCAGACTTCTGAGCTATCAAACTGCATGACAGTAAATCTGTGTTGTTTCACACTCTTCTGTTTGTGGCGATTTGTTCTGGCAGCAATAGAAAACAAATGCATATGCTCTCCTCTTTCTCCCTGTCTCTGCCCTCTGGGTCTGTCTGTAGTTGTTGGCTGCTGCCCAATAGACCCCAGATTCATGAGAAAGATTGGAAAGAGGGGCAATGCAAAATGGGATCAAACTACGTGACTAGGGTTTTCATTGGTTGATTTACTGAAGTAGCTCACTAGACCTTTCTAACCTGTCTTCATCTGGAAGCAACAGGGAAGCCTTCACTGACAGACAAGCAGTAGCTTTCACTTGGGGAGCATCAGCCAGGAATTTAACCCTATCTCTGTAAGGAGAGTGAGAATTCTGCCACCAAACCACCACTGCCTCAGGTTTCTCTGTACTTGCCTGGTTTTGTCCCTTCCAATGTATCTCATCTGCTGGGTTTCTCTGTCTCTTTGTGGCCTTCTAGTAGGTCCCTTTTTATCTCTAGATGGTTTCATTTCCTCGGCTCCATGCTCATCTCTAAACCCTCTTAGATCTTGAGGTTTTGCTGGACCTGGGCCTGGGGTACCTCTGAGTGTCTTCAGGAACCTTGTCTTGGAACCAATCCAAATGTTTTGTCAAGGTCCAAATGCTTTGTCTAAGTCCATCAGGCCTTAACCGTGGTTGTACATTAGAATCATCTGAGGAACTTGTAAATTCCCAATGCTCCGGTTATACCTCCGGTCAATTACTCAGAATCTTTGTGGGTGAGTCCCAGGTATCAGTAGTTTTTGTTTTCCTTTAAATTTTATTGTGGTGAAAATATATGTAACAAAACACACACCATTTCAACAATTTCTACATAGACAATTCAGTGATATTGATTACATTCTTAAAGTTGTACAACCATTCTCAGTATCTTTTCCCAAATCATTCTACTACCATTAACATAAACTCAATTCCCCCTTGAATAAAAACTCTCCCTTGCCTCTGATAACCACTAATAACCTTTGATTTCTTCATATTTGCTTATTTCATATAAGTGAGATCATATAGTGTTGGTCCTTTTGTGACTATGGGTTTCACTCAGTATGATGTTTTCGAAGTTCATTCATGTTGTGGCATGCATCGGGACTTCATTTCTTTTTATGGCTGAATAGTATTCCATTGTATTTACATACCTGTTGGTGGACATCATGTGTTGTATTTTTTAATATCTCCAGATAATTTAACTGAGGGTGAACCACTATCTTATACCGTGGGGTGAGCAGGTGGACCTCTGTCTCCCCATTTCACTCTGTGCTCTAGCCACAGTGCCTTTCATTTTCAGGTCCTTGAACAGACCAAGGCTGATGTCACACAGGGTCTCTGCACTAACTGTTCCTTCTGCTTCGGGTCCCTCCTTCCCCCAGGACACATTGTCTCCATCTTCTCATTCACATTTTGACCCAAAGGTAACCTATTCATCCAGAGATTTGTTTTATCACTACATCTCAAGTAGTTTTTCTGAAAGACCCTCACCATCTCTGTACACAGATTTCTTGTTCTCATGGATTTGTCACTATCTGAAATGATCTACTTATTTGTTTGGGATCTATTTCTAGTCAATGGAAACTATAGGAACAGCAACCTAGCCTTTATGGTGGATGCTGAATTCTCTGCACTTGGAATGGTGCCTAGCATTAACAGTTGTTGTTAAGTGCCATCAAGTTGGTTCTGACTCAGAGCAACCCTGTATGGTGGGTCTGAACACCAACTTTCTGGTTAGCAGTTCAGTACTTATCCTACAGCGCTATACAAGGACTCTTTTAGCATACAGTTGTTGTTAACTGCTGTCAAGTCGATTCCGACCCACAGCGACCCTATACAGGGTTTCTGAGGAGCAGCTGGTGAGCTGGAACTGCCAACCTTGCAGTTCAAACGGCTTTGTAGTCTGGCGCTTTAACCCACAGAGCCACACCAGCGTACAGTTGTT